AGACAATAATACCTACATTAAGAAAAACAAATTATACACACTAATAGTAACTTAAGCTATAGAAAAGAAAGCAATTTAGGAAGCAAGCTGTTGAATTCTGGATATTAAATGAGAATTATATTCCTTGTAATTAAGCGGTTCTACTTTAATAGCAACCGTTTTTAATCTCGCTTCATCCTGAAACAGAAAAGTTAAAAAAATGACATAATTATTCATTTCAATGACAATCTTACATTGTATTTCTCCATTTTCGCACGGCATCTGAAGGTGTACTGTTTAAAATTTGCTTCATTGGTGATTTGCATGAGACCGTCATTATCGGTTTCAGCAATTTCTCCAACTTCTTGCGCAGTTTTACCAAGCAATATCTCCAGTTCTGATGAAAACATGCTCACCCATTGATTGCCACTCCAGTCACCAACATTCACCTGAAAACTTGTATTTAAAATCGATTGTATTAAATGATGATTAGCATTACATTGCCCAGCAATCTGTATTTGAAGTTTGGGTATTCGCTGCTGCACTTCTCACATCGGTACGTGCCGTTCTCGAGATCAACAATTTTCTTGTTGCAATTCTCCTGCGGACACGCTTTGTAGAAGATGTTTTCGGCGCGTACCAGTATAACTGTACCCGCAGTTTGATAGTAGTATCCTTTCTCGACGTTACCCAGATCCTGGTCTTTCACTTCCCGGAAGCTCATCCAATTGGCTTGGAAACCGCCCATATTTGATCTAATATATATTAAAATGTAATTATTGTTATAGTATTGTATTAAATAATAATACCTGGCACTAATATTAGATGCCTCTTCGTTGCATCCACCATTATCGTACCATCCGCGAAGACTGAAAGCCTCTGGGATGTCTGGATTATATTTGAGGAAACCATTCATAGACACTGCAAGATTTTTTCCACCGCCGAATTCGCCTATTTTACCACCTTTTATAACGACAACTGGTAAAGTGTAATCATAATTTTCAGCAGTATCTCCCCACAATGTTACAGATACCTAGAATATTAATTATTTGAAATCGAATTGGATAATGTTTACTGGAATTCATACCGAAGCCTTGGAAGGGTCGACAATAATCAATTCTCTTTTCTTTAATTCTCTGCCGGAGGATTTTGCAGTGAATGTTTGCACGTCGGATGCTTGCTTAACTATTCCAATGCAATCTGCGAATACATTTACATTTTCGTTAATTAATCAAAAAAGTACATTTGTTTATTCATTGACTTACCAACAATGGTTCCAACTTCCATGTTAGCAAGTTTATCAATCGTTACAAAATCATATTTTGTTGTAGGAATGTCTGTTTCCTCTTCGCACTCCTGAACGACGGAATCATTAGTTAACGTTAATTCATAATCATTCTTCAATGATGAATATTGCTTATTTGCCATTTTAGTCATGCACTTACTAATGTAATAAACTTTATCCACCTACAAGATAAAAGTAAAATATAAATAAATATTAAGTAGTAAAATGCTTCACCTGAATGATATCATAATACTTGTCAACTGATTCTTTGAAAGCTGTAACTCTGATTTCACCACTTTCATCAAGCAAATCAAATGAGAACAATGAGCCTTCACCTTTAGCATTTTTCCATGTACGAATATTGGACTTGTTTGTCACCCTAGCTTTAATAACCCACCTACAAATTATAACAGATTAAAATTATATGTAAAAACAATAAAATCAATAAGTACTTGTTTTGATAGGGAGTAATAGTAGAAATGGAGTGTGTAGCTTTCCCTTGCATGGTATTATTCAAGTTAATACCACTAATTGATGGAACTGATGTTTTCATTCGTGCAGTTGAGTTTGCATTGGTTTGCATTGGTTTAGGAGGATCAGTGCTTTCCTTTGATAAATTGGCAGGCAGTTGTTCAGGATTTCCAATCTTGTATCCTACCTCACTACCTTTGGCAACAAATTCAAAATCCATAATCACTAAAATTTTTCTAAAAATATGTTTGTTAAATAAATATTATTGTACTAGAGAATTGTGCCAAACTTACTTGTCAGCACTTTTATCTTTATTTATTTCACTTGTAACGGATCTCTTAATCTTGATGATTGAGAACATTTCAAAGTCACCTCCTAGCAAAATCGAATTGCTGATCTGGTTGGTGAACATTGCAAATGAGAATAGATATTTTCCATCTGAGAGCATCATGCGATGTCTCTCCTTGTCAGGGTCATTTGTGGCAAGCTTCTTGCTGCCCAACACTTGCATTATTGGATTATCTATTTTATCACCTCTCATTAATACCTGCTCAAAAGATATATGTTAATGATATCAATTATCATACAATATGATTCAACTTACAGCCAATGCACCTTCAGATAATTTATATTTATCTGCCATTTCTCTGATTTGTTTGAAATTACTTATAAAAATATATAGATCAAAGTTTTTTATAATAAAGTACACTATTTGAAAACAACTACAAGATATAATGTCTTGTCCGTACTTGATCGACTTGAACCAGCAATACAAATATTATATATAGGCCATATATAGTTTTCCCGCCAATTGGAATCCGTTGCACTTCAATTGTCATGAACTGTCAACATATGAGGTTATATGATACTGTTAGGAATATACGTGCTACGGACCACTGTTATGCCGAACCACCAATAGAGGGCGATCCAAGGAATACTAGACGAAACCATCAACAGAGGGCACTCAAAGAATCAGCACTGCCAACTGCAGAAATCACATCGTCGTTTGAAAATACCGAAACTGTTGAAGAAGCTTAAAGCAGATCCAAGCGACAGATGTGGCCCGCATACCGAGCTTAACACATCGATAGCGCGCTCTGCCGAGTAAACTACTTACTATCGAAGATAAATTAATACAAAGTTCCATACTTTTGTTGTTTGAATCGACATCCTGACCATATTTCTAACAGATACAGAGTGATACCGGTTATCCAATGACAAAAAATTACGAATTTTGAAATATTTCATATAAGATTCTGTACCTAGCAAGTAAATTTCACTTCATTTAGCAATTTTCATTAAAATTTATGTCTATCCTGCTAACAATAAGTAAATTTAATCAAAATTTACAAGATTTCTGTATTGCAATAATAGACCTTAGTTCGAAATTGTAAACATACCAGTAAATTGAACCTTTATAGTAGATTTGGTTGCATATAGTTATGAAACTAGAACTCAAATTAATTCTTCTGCTACTATTCGAGATTGCTCCACTCCACTTGTCATTAGAATAGCTGGAAGTGGCTGGAAACCCGGCACGAATTGTCTAACCTTTGTTTTACAGAACTTGTCCAATATTAAAGTACAAAGGTTGTTTTAACGGCAAAAATGTTTTAGACAGTGATCGGAGAACTTTTTACCCATTACTCCAAGTCCAATTACAACTTTACTTTATATTTTCTTGTTTTCTTATATATTTAGTTCGTTTTAAACATCTTATAATACATATTGTTAAACATTACTTTCTAAAAATATTTAAGAAGCTATCTTATTATCTAATGTTAAATAATTTGATGAAATTGTAATTTTATTTCGATGAAAATATAATTATTAATAAACAAAATTTATTGTATACCTACATACATAGGCCTATTGACCACAGTCTTTATGCCCAAAACATAGTTAATATAGTTATGTGCAATAATTATTCAAGAATGTGAATAAATTATGAAATTAAAAATAAAAGCAAGTTCATGAGCTGCATATTATATTATAATAATTTATATTTTATATCGGTCAAAAACATCAATACTTTTTATATAAAAATTAATAGACTATGATAGACTAAATTGGATAAAACATACAAAGTTCGTGCGAGAGGAGAGAATTTGTTCGAAAATAATCATAGCACGTATTCGAGATAAGCGGAAACGTTTTGTGAAATATCGGGGCCGCTATTTTGAAACTGCAGGGCCACTAGCAAATAAGTAATAACGTTTCCAACAATCTGAAAAAAAAATAAGGAAAATTATAGATAGTAGAAAATAGTTTAATGAACATAAATTACAGGAGCCAATAACCAAGGTCCTATATTAACAACACTAAATCCTGAAAGTGTAGCCTGCTGTCCTTGCCACAAAATAACCAACAGTTGTATCTACAATAGAATAACATTAGTTATACGTGCCATAATCCGCTCCTCTTTTACCTGTTCCAGTGTTTTAGAGGGGAATTGCAGAATTCTCGTGTTCTGAAAGGCTTCAAGAGGTTTTTTGGACTGAAACCGACCGTAAAATTATTAGTTATCCATCGGTCTTCAATATTCGGAACTGATTACCGAATTGCTTATGTTGTGTCCAAGCACTGTATAAATAATTAATTTGCAGGAGCGGTACAGAAGACTCAAGAAGTAATGGATTTGCTCATGAGGATTGCTGTGCGTCTTAATGTAGTTGATGGTGCATATACGGTATAAGTAATAGATTGTCGTGTATAAGCTCGAGGTAATCCCCATTAGCATTTGAATACCAAAACACCTGTTGATTTCCTTTAAGGCCCCGTTGATTTGTTGATGAGTTAACGACACTTGTTCAAGCTGTCACAATCAAATTTATTTATTATTCAATTTCATCAAGCGATTTTGAATTAAAGTAGGTCGTTTCACAAATGCGAAAAGAATTTGAGTATAATAGATATTTCCAATAACAATATATGTACAATGTATATATACTTTACATTAGTAATAGATTAGTAATGGTCGTCTGTATTAGAAAATCGTTTACGAAGGTGTTCGAAACTTAGACCAAATATAAAACAACCATTGCATCGTTGAGGTCAAAATGAATCAAAAGGTAGCATTAAAAAAAATATAAGTAAAGGAAATTCTACATTGTACTTTGTTTATGCTTACGGCACTCGTGTTTCCAGTAGTTGTACATACTTGTAGAGCTAAATTCGTCGCGTCGTATAGGTTGTTGAATTTGCTGACTATCAGAGATGTTAACATAATAAGAATTGTGATTTCTGCAGATGGATAAATCAAAGTTATCCCTCTTATAATAACAGCAAATGGTTGATCTGAAACGATTAAAATTGGAAATTGTCAACCTGCAATATACCATTCCTGATACCTAATAATGTGCATGGGTAATCATCGAATGTTATAAGAGTTCTGAGCCAAGCAACGTAAGTATAAGAAGCGAAAACGAATAAGACAAAAGGGTATAGGCATTTCATAACTCTGTTCAAGATCTTCTGTAATCTAGCCATTTCATTTAAAATCCCGGAAATCCTCGAAACCTTCTCCAGAAGTGTGCAGAAGCTATTGGCCATAATAATGCCCATCATCAATGATACGATCGATTCGATATCCGTAATGATGTACCCGAATGTCATTACGTACCTGAAACGTGATTACGATTGTGATGTTGGATCACTTATGACTGCACATTTACCATTCCAAACTGTTGACTTTGTTGGTGTTTGGTCCGCACTTCAGACGTATAGTGTACATTACACATACGTATGGTATGAACAGGATTAATAATGCGTATGTATACCAGAGCCATTTGCGATGGACCACGAATTTGCAACCGGAAGTGTGTCGTTTCGGAGGCGATGCGGATATGGGCATCAATCCGGTGAGTCTGGCAAAGCACAAAACAAGCCAAATCGATTCGCATAGGCACGGGTAATGTTTACACTCTACATTAATTTTAATAGAATTCGACGTTCTATTCTTTGCCAACAATCTTTTGAAGGAATGCATTGCGAGTGGCAAAGACATTCACTGAGCATAGACGAACATCGTTCGGCAATTAAATTGATGTCCAATTACATTATTCAAAATCGATTTATTATGATCGATCATGCATTTCCAATACAAACATAATTCATGAACAATAATGTAACCATCCAATACAGTTAGAATTTTGAAAGGTGTATACACATTTTTTTTATTCTATTATTTTATTGAGTATACGTATATGTGTTTCAAACAATCAAATATAGATAAGATTTGCTGATTGATTTAATTTACTTTCTGTTATCATCCGCCAGATATTACGGCCATTCTCAATTTAGTTTGATGCATACAACGAAGCAATAATGGCAACCGGCCGAAAGAAAATACTTATCTTATTGTTGTCATTGCTTCCATCCATTTGGACTCTAGAAGGTAAAGAAATCCACAACAAGTACAACATATTCATTTCATCTTGTTATAGAATGCTCCATATCCGGCATTGACTTTGGAAAGACACGATTCAGAAATATACCAATTGAAGACACGAAACATGGCATTATTGAGAAATTCACGACAAAACTCGTTAAGGGTATGGAAATGTTAATATAAATATTAAAACATAAAACAGTGTAAAATGATTTTTGTTCAGATGTGAGCCTTGAAGATGAGACTTATTTGAAGATCTCTCATGACAATGGAGAAATGACAATCAGGACTACCGACGAATTTGAGCTTTACGAAAAGAAAGAGTTCAACACATCGATCATCACCAAGTTGAACGTTGTTTGTGATAATCAAAGAAAGATTACCCTCGTTAGTTCATTGAGTATATCGTAAGAAATCTGATAATAATATATCTGTTGTTTCTTAGGACTTCGTTCAACCAATTATGTTTACAAATAACAATAATCCGACATTTAACGAGACGGAGTATACATTTGTATTATACAACACGGTTAAAGATGGTGTAAATTTGGGAAAAATTGCGGATATTGCAGCATACGATTATGACATTGATATGACATATTTCTACTTTTCAACAGACGACGATGATTTTCGGATTTCCTCAGGTGAAACGCACGATAAAGCGGTCATTGCTAACTTATACGCCGAAAGGGATCTTATCCCACCATATAAGAAGACGTTTACAGTCAAAGTTCATGTATAAATATTGAAATAATTAGTGATGTTTTATTGTTAATAATGAAATTTACAGGATAGTTTATTAGGAGGTTCAAACACAGGTCTTGCAAAAGTCAACGTTGAATTGAAATTGCCAAACGAAAAAATCGAGTTTACTAAAGATAATTATGAAGGAAGTATCGTAAATAATGTAATCACAATGAAAGATCCGATTACGTTGAAAAATGGAATTGACGACCATTTACACATCGTAGTAATCTCAGGTATTTTCTTGGATTGGATCATTTTTTGCAATTAGTCTTTTTATATTCTTCACTTTCAGATTACAAAGATTTTTTCTGGACTGACATAAACTACATGAAAGGAGAAATTCAATTGAAAACAGATGGTTTACCTTTGATGAGATCTTTGAAGACCATAGATTTGACACTTCGCGTCTCTGAGAATGGAATGAACGCAACAACTAAGATCAGTTTGAGGAGTGACAAGGACGTAGAAGAGATTTGCAGACTTGGATCTATCGACTTGAAATACGACACAAAATATAGGAACAAAAAGATAATTGACGATACATACGTCGGCTCTGTAGAAGTTTTTGAAGACACCCAAAACATAGAGGGTACTCGTAGTAATTTTATTAAGGTTAATCATGGTTAATGTATTTTTTTTCTTCGCAGACGTGAAATGCTTCAAAACTAAATATTTGAGATGCAAATTCAATAAAAAGGATGAGACTTTGAGTATTTACACCACCGATGAATTCGCTAATTACGAGGAAACAGAAAAGGAGGATAGGCTAGTTATGACAATGACTGTCACCTGCCGGGATTATACTAAAGAGATTGTAGGTGTTCATACATTATGAAATTGTGTTGGCTAATTAATTAACTAATACATATTATTAGGAATATATACAGGACATAAAAGACATCAACAACCATATGCCGGAATTTAAGTTCAGGGAGTACAATTACGTGTTCTACAATCAGATCCCGAAGAGGTTCAAATTGGATCAAATGATAGAGATCGAGGCAGTAGATCTCGACTTGGATTCATATGGTATGACCATGGAAATAGAGGAAAACGATGCATTTTCATTGAGTAGTAAATATACCACGAAAGAGAAGACTATTGCGGGATATTTGCAGGCAAAACGTGACATTAACTGCACATCAGATATTGAACTTGAACTTACGGTTAAAGTAAGAACGAAAAAATATCACTGTTATTAGAAATTATTTATCTTTACTCTGTTTAATTAGGATAAAGATCAAAAAAGCAGTACAGCTCTTCTGAAAGTGCACGTACTTCAAAATAAGGACGAAGAATTCGAGTTCACGAAGAACAAGTATGAAGTGTACATCGAGAACGGCACTATTCACTACATAGACGACAACAAGATCCAGTTGGTCAATGGATTCGATACTGATATTGTCTTTAATATTACAAATCCTTGTATGATCATACATACTCCCATTATATAGAACAGTTCTTTCTAAAGTTTTCAACTTACAGATCACTCTAAATATCTTCACTTGATGCCCAATTTTTTGAAAAACCATCTGGAATTGGAAATCGTCGGGGATTTGAAGGAACTGAAAGAGAGGTCTATCATTCTGACTGTATTGGCAGAGTGGCGCGGATTCTACGCCATGAGCTTCGTAACGGTGTATTTGAACGGAAAGCCAGCGCACAGTGACGGCATCCAATCTAACCTGAATGGCTTCATGAGATGGACTATGACTTCCACCATAGCCCAAACCATGATTTGCTTGGTGACGCTAATTGCATTAGTTTCAATGATCATTACACTTAACCGCTTCTTCAAGAAGAGAGAGAATGCACCAAGCAAGCACGTTATCGATTGCAAGGTGTAATCAAATATAAAATATAATTATTTTAAAATGTATCATGATATTTGTTAATAATAGATGTATAATAGATGATATATAAGTTGCATTGACATACATAGTTTTTTTTTCTTCGATTTTGTACTAGTTGTAATTGTATTATGAATAAATAATTTTCATTTTGTATCGTCTCCACTGTTCTTTCAAGAAATCTATAATTATTGGAAGCTTTTAACGATATTAATAAAGCTTAAGATAAAGAACAAAAAAAATCGTATTTATTTAATTATAAAATATACCTTTTATAATAACCGATATTACTAAATAAGAAAATAACGATCAATTATAATAATAGATATGAAGTAGATTAATTTTGAGTGTATTAATTGCGTCTGTTTTTGTTACATTGTTACATTATTGTTATTGGAGGGATTTGGCTAAAGATTTTACGTGACTGAGAGATTGCATAAAATTATCAATGATCGTCTGATAACGAAAAAAAATTAGTAAAATCGAGTTGTACTTGAGTTGTTGATAAGGAGAAAGGTTGAAACAGGAAGATAAAATATTAAGTACGCACGTAAGTTAATCTGATAATATGTTCTCAATAATAACAAATGGTCTGAGAAAACATTTGATTACAGTTAAAATAAAATTTCGCAAACACTATTATTTTGTAAGTTACAATGTATGGATCCATCGAGTATTTAATAAATGTTTTAGAAAAAGTAGACACAAGAAAACAATTCCTAAAAATCGACTTTAAAAAAAAATGGTTTTCGAATGTTCACAAAAGAAAATAAAGAGAAAGATTTTTTACATCATCAATCAAAAAACAACCAAAAATCGAGAATATTGCATAAAACTATAACAAAATATAATTTATTTCATGGAAAACTATATAGAAAAACGAATAACAATATATGACTATAAAATATTAATACATTTCTTATTTTTTTCTTAGAAAATGTAATTAAAAGAATGTCTATAGATCAATTGCTCAAACATGTTTTTGTTTTGCATATAAAATATTCTCGTTTTAAGCCAGAAATGATTTTGTGTCAAAATGATTATTTTAATCAATTAATTAAAATAATTAATTCATATTTTAAATCTAGGCTTTTTAGTTCGTAAACTCCATTTTTTTAATATAAAACCTACTAAAACCAGAACAGCTGAAAAAGTTTATGGTTATTAATGATGGGAAACAATATCTTTGATAAAGATAAAAAGCTTGTTTAATTAAGCGAATTTTACTAATATGTTAATTTTAGAGTGTTTAATTTGATATGTATTTAATTAAAATATTGACAACAAAAATCATAATATCTAAACTAGTTGAACAGCCCTTGAACTTAATATATTTTTTCTTTAATCTTTCATTGTTCATTGATCAATGAATAAAAAATAATACGTGTAAATTAGAACGGAATCGATTATTATTTTTGTGTAATATATTTATTGAACAAATTGAGAATGTGATAAACGTATCTATAAACGTGTAATTCGTTGTTGAGTACTCGACAGATAAATCAGTATCCTGATATACTTAGTGTAGCGACAACACGCGAAATGGAAATGTCCCGAACAATGAAGATGCTATTTTTGGTATTTGGTTTAATCCAAATATCCTATGGAGGATGTAAGTTCGTAAGATCTCGCCTCTGCAATTTATTAATGTTTTTGCATAGTATTCGATGATGATTGCAGTTTGGATGGCGTCGATGTAGGAATATTTGGAGAATTCAAGAACGAAGCAATTAAAGACAAACACACTGGAATCGTTAAAGAGTTTACAAAAGGCGGTATTACAGGTACGTTCACTAAAATATAAAACTTCAAAAATAAAATTTATTTTCCACTTTGTAGATGTTCATACGACAGACAGCAAGTATTTGAAAGCAAGAATCGATGGAGACAAAATTATAGTCGAGACAACTCAACGTTATTCCGATATTGAGTATGAATTGGAAAGCACAAATTCGCCAAAAATTAGAACGACAATAAAACTTACTTGTGAAAATGGAACTTCCAGTTTTGTGAGTATTTTTTTTACACTAAAGTATCTACTAGAATTTATTATAATAAATGTCTAATTGAAGACATTCTCCCAACCAATCATCGACGAAAACAACAATACACCGTTCTTCAATAGGAAAGTGTACCGATACAGGTTTGGAATGGAGGTAAATAAAGATTTTGTGCTCACCGAGTTACTGTCCATATATGCGACAGATATTGATTTAAGTCACAAAGACTTGGTTGTCACAATTGAAGACAACGATTATCTTGAAATCAAGCCACTCAACAAATGGGATTCGATGCAAAAAACAACGCACTATCAACTCGTCGCCAAGAAACATTTGAGTAAAATGGATAAGACATTCGAAATTATCGTTTCTGTAAGAATGAACTAAACCCAGAATTATTAGCTAAACATAATTAATTTAATAATATTTTTAGGACACCGAGAATACTTCCAAAGCTTCAATCAATTTGGTAGTTGAATAATTGCGTATATTCAAGTAATATATAACATAGAATTATATACGTTATAAAATATATATTAGTTTGCATGAATACTGTACTTTATTATTTCGGTAATACACTATGTCATAAATGTTATCCTATAAGTATGTATTTCGCTGTTTTATTTAATATTTCATAAGTTCTTAAATCTTAAAATAATGAATGTCTAATGACTTAAGCACCGAATGCACTTGTTAATTATAGAAAAAATATAATAAATAAAAGAATTAGTTTACAAAAAGAATAAAATGTACAGAGCAGCGAAATAAAGGTTTCCGAATTGCAATAATAAGTAGATCTTATAAATCCGATTTTAAACCGACCGACCGGTTGTTGCATGTTCAATTTGCACTTTGTACTTAATTTTGTATATTTTTTTTTAATAGTGTGGCCTAAGTCTATTTTTCAATTTTTTGTTGTTGACTGTAGTAACGTTTATAATTTGATGTTAACTGTCATAAATAATAATTTTTTATCGTCATTTTTATTCATGACTGTTCTATCGCCTTTGGCAATAATTCTTTACTTATTGATTATTTATTAAATATCAATGGTAGATCCAGTAGCTTATGTCGCTTCAGTCGCTGTGTTGTTATGCTATTGTCCAGAAGTTTTTCATAATTGTTTCCTCTTCTGTTTCTATTTGAGGGTCCCCATGAATTCTCCTGTTCGTAATATACCATGGAGCACCAATGATCCTTCATAGGATCTTCGACTGGAATCTTTGTTAGATCTGCTGCTGACTCCCCATAGCTGTATTCCGTATGTCCAGACGGGTTTTAAAATTACTTTATAGATCAGCAACTTGTTTTCTTTCGAAATTGGCAAGTTTTCCCGTAATAACCAGTAAAGTTTCCTGAACTTAATTTCGAGTTGTTTCTCTTTCCAGGTCAATCTTCTATCTAGATTTATTTAACTTTATTAGGCGACGGTATTATTTTTCCGTTAAGATTCACTGTTGGGCAGGAGTCCTTTCTCATGGTGAAGGTGACATCTACTGATTTTTATTCATAGTTCAATATTTAAAAACATTATTTAGAAAGTGGCTTAAGTCCACTTCATTGTTGATAATGTCCGAAAGTGCAGATCTTCAAATTTCTGAAGGTGATGAAGGTAATTTTAATTATTTTGTAGTAATATTTCCGCAAAGAATTAATATTCTAAATTACATGAAAAAAGAGTATTTTCTATTATCACAATACGTTTTCACAAAATATCGCCAAAAAAGCTTAGATTTTACAAATTAATGGTGGGGTGTCGGAATAAATTGTGCATTATTTAACACATTTGTTATGTACAACTCTGTAAAAAAAAGTATAAACAATATTTACAGGACATCGCTATATAATGATTTGTTTATGTTCAATTTGTTCTAATTCAGAAACTCTCCTCTATAAAAATATTATATATTATTAAAAAATAAACTGAAGCAGTTATAAAATTGTGATTCCGATTAGTTCGAATGAAAAGTCGTAAAGTCTGCGACCGTCTCAGTTGTTATATAGCATTCGCATTTGGTGTTTCGTTTAATCTTTTTCTTCGTGTAATTGTGGCAGTTGTGGCACGAGCATTGAAATTGCACACTTCCATCTTTTATTATTTTTTTCCCTCTGGCAGTCAGATGTGCGGTAAAAACAATCGGAGAACGCTTGTTGCCATTAGTTACGGAGTTCTGGTTGAAAACGCACGTGCTCAGATGGCGCATGCACATCTATATCCACCATCCGCAAACACGCCACATTCGAAAACATACCATAAAATCCATTTTGCATATTACAATTTTCCAATTTACGTACTCGAAAATAAAAACAAAATGTGCATTCGTTCGTTCGTTCCCTATACGGCTACTCTTTCGTTCGTTCGAAGTACATCTGCCTACTAGTTTATATATACCATTTTTTGCAAATGAAAAATTATTCGTTATTGAATATGATTCCAAGAAATGGAAGATCAAACTAACGAATAACAACTTTTGTTTTTTTTTTGTAGGTGTGTTTCTAAGTATTTAATGCCAAAAAAGTGGGTGCAAAAATAGTACCTTCAAAATTATATAATTTACAGAAAATATGAAATAATTCAAATTAAAGTAGGATGGACCATATTTTGGCCAATGCGTTCACTCAATCTACCACAATATTATAATATACCGAAAAGTTTGGGAATCCTTCATTTCCCAAACTTTTTCAGTTTGCGGCGCCCCAACTCAAAATATTGGTCAATCTTTGGAAGAACTTTATGTTAATATTAGTTTTTCTTCAATGTTCGTGGTGGCGCACAGTTTGGCAACCCCTGGTATTCTGTAAGTAATTGGTTTCGACAATATCGGAACAAAAAAGATAATAAAAATTAAATTTGTGTACTAATTTTTGAGAATTTATTTTTATTCTGTCCAATTAAAATGTAGTTTTTTTGAAATTGTTTTGAAATTGTCAATGGTCAATGTATTGTTACATTTGATTCTCTGTATACTTTCAGCACGTAAAATATAAAATTATTTACTATTTTCAAACTATTTCTGTTTTTTAATTGTTATTTATACGATTGGAATGGTTCACTTCAGGCATCTGTTTGTAACAAATAGAGATTATTATATAAAAAAAAATATTTTAGTTGATCCTAAATTGTAGCCAAATGTGCGCACTACAAGGAAAATGATATTTAATTTTCTCAAAGTGAAAAATACTTGGGGGTCGCAGAAACACTGCGAGTTTGAGAAACACTGCAATCTAATTTTCAATTTTATTCTTAGTGGGAGGTAAATCATTGGTCTAGAAAGAGACTACCTAATTAATGATCAATACTATGATTTATTACTATTACTACAATATTTGTTTCAATGTAAATTTATGTTAATTTTAACGAGGTGATAATAATAACTAAAATTTATATATTAGTATAATATAATAATTCTTCTGTTATTAATATTAAGGTTAGAAAGCTGTATATTATTGTTTAATAAGAAAAATAAATTTCTTGTATACAAATTTCAATATTTTTCTTTAAAAATGTATATTATATCCATTAATATTATTGATTTTCAATAATAATACTTAATGGAAACTTTGAGAGTTGAATGGAATGCGACGAGTGAAAGAGGGGAAAGGCAGAGAAGAGGAAAAAATCATCGGGCTCAGCGAGTGGGTGTTTTCGGAATCTATTTGTAGTTTGGAAGCGGGTTTGAAAATATTTATCGTTCCGGATGTTTATAAGAAGTGGCGGATCCACCGAGAGTCGAAGCAGGAAACAAGACTCTCCTCTGGTTGTCCGGAGAGAGGAGATTTGTAGATGGAGTAGCTAAGAACTGAGGTATCGGGCTTTGAGGGAGGATGCCCCGATTTTATCCTGCGAGACAGCCTTAAAGGTATTTTTGGCATTGCGAAAACCGCAACGCATACTTTCCTCTACAAGGTCCCCTCCTCCACGAAAGCAACGAGTGTTCATCAGCTGACTCCCATTCATTTTAAAACCGCAACTCCCGTCTTATTAACTTAGTCACATCGCCAAACCAAAAATAATAATATGCACAATCGAAGGGAACATCTTTGTAGTGACGCAACGGATGTAGAAATATGAGAAAGGAAATAATAATTCGTTTTTTTTTCTTTGCAAATTGCTTTTATTTTTAAATTTCAATTACTACATTGAAAAGCAACCATAATTAAAGACAATAATTACAATAAAAAAGGAAATTAATTATATTATTATAAAAAAATATGGCTTATAAAATTTAAAGTTCCATTTAAATGTGGATGAAGATAATATTATATATTTAATGAATGCAGAAGAAGATGGTTTTCAGTGGAAGATTAAAGAAAAATGTTAACAATCAAAGAAGGTGCTTAACTCTTTGAGAGGCGGTGCTCTAGAAAATCTCCTACAAAAAAAGGGCAATTGTTCTTTAATTTGGTTGGTATGTCAAGAGATGAATTTTGATAAGCCGATGTTGATACATTTGACGAACTTGTCTGATTCAGTTATCTAAAAATTTCTGGTTCTAGCAATGTCTAACCCTCAAAGAATTAAATGACATTTTAATTTAATTTTTGTGAACATATTACAGAAATAATCAACTTTAGAGTCATATTTTAAAATATGATTTCAATTTGTATGTAAGTTGACAGTTTATTTAATGAAACTTGCTTTAAATTTCTTTAGGCAGCAACGTATTCTGTTCATAGTACTTTTTCTTAAAACAAAGTGGATTATTGATTTTAAAATATTTTTAATTAATATTGAAAGCTGTAATTGAATTGAAATTAATATTAATTAATTAAATTTGGAAATTATAATCATTTTCACAAGTCAATAAATTTATTCACAATTAATACAAAATATCCTCTATTAAAATAAAATTGATTCGGATTCTTAAGTAAATTTTGTTTTCCTCTCTATATATTACATCTAAGTAAAAAAAACGGGACGTCTGGTCACACTAGCTTAATACATATTATAAGATTATATTATTACTTTAATAAATAAATATAAATTCGCAGAATTGCAAAGTTTAACTTCTAACTATAAATTTATTCAGACTTTATTTATATATTAAGTTAAATTTGTATTTACTTCTTCATCGGTTTTAACTAATAGAATTTTCTATTTTTAATAGATAGCGCATAGAATAATCCTCATCTTTTTTAGCTGGTATGCACAAACTGTTTCGATATTACAAGAACTTGTTATAGCATCATATTTCCATATAATAAAAATTAGATATTCAGAACCGAACATAATCGTATTTTCATTGTTTTTTCTTTATTTGTTTCTCGATCTTTAATGAATATTTACGAAAGTAAGTATAACATTAAATATGACTTAATTGTGTAACATGGTAATAATAAGATACTTTCACAAGGATATTTTGATCAATGATCAATGTAGCGAAAATCGTGTAAATGTGGATATTAATAAAAATATTAAAAATTATCAGTGGGGAGCAAATTACTATTATACAAAGAAATAATAATGAAACCAGTATGATATCTAATTGTGGGTTTCAGCCAGCAAATTGAGCAAATAAATTATACAATCAAATATACAGACAAATATAT